GGGGCTTCATAATGTTATATTCCTAAACTTCGTATATTCCATCACATAGATTCTACAAAGGCAAAGAAAAATTGAACTTATTCAAACTACTTAACACAATAGCAACAAAATTGAACAAATGATTGATAGCAAACGCAACATAGAACGTAATACTAAAAACCCACTTCAAGATTTATTCTTTTTTTCATAGCTGCCAAAAAAAGAGTTTCAAAAACCTAGAGTGAAACAGTTAAATTCAATAAATATATACAAAGAAAACTCAAAACATGAAGACAGCAAACACCCACCAGAGAGAAAGGTCATAATATGTGCTTTAAAACCATATCAAAGCTAGCATCATGGAGGCACCACTGAGTGACCCTTTTTAGAGAACAATATGCAAAAAAGAAGTCCCAATTTTTACCGGAATATAAACAAATGACACATGTTTTAGCCCACTATTCTTGATCAAAACTCAATACTATCTCTATTATATCTATTTGCCCGTTCAATCCAAAATCTAAGATACAATCTCAATCAAAATCTAAGGTATAATCTAAGAGCATCAAAACTCTAATATAATCTCAATCCAAAATCTAATACATCATGAACCAAATCATTATTAGAGCTCATCAAAATTAAATAATTCCCAACAAAAAAATCGCATCAAAATTAATAAAATTCCCAACAAAATTAACATCAAATTCTCTATGACATAATGAAACAAAATCGCAGCAATCCGTATCAACTCACATCTATTGATAGTTAACAAAAAAAAAAAGCTTTCGACTTCACAAAATGCCTAAAAAGGATAAAGCTTTGGATTTTGCTGGTGTACCTCTTTTGTTGTTTTGCTGCTATGGAAATTAAAAGACAATTATTAGGAAATAAATAGAAAATAGTGGAGCATCATCAGGTGAGACACTTTTGCCACTGTGACATTCAAAAATAAGCAAACATGAGAAAAAAGAGAATGAGTGTTGTGCGCAGAGGTGGGTATGGGCGTGGGTGTGAAATTGAGAATGTGTGTGCATTGTGTGTGTATGAGTGTGTGAGCGATGGGCTTGTGTGAGAGAAGTGAAAGAGAAGAGAAAGAGAAAGAGAAAGAGAAGGGAAGAGAAGAGGGGAGAGTGTGTACAATGTGTTTGGGTGTGACAGTATTGAAAGAGAAAGAAAAGGGAAGAGAAGAGCGAGAGAGAAGGAGACTAATTGGACTTGTCGAGTCGTCGGATTTCCAGGTGGAAATAGTTGAGAGAGAGAGAGAGAGAGAGAGAGAGAGGGGGGGGGGCGCAAAGACAGAGAGACGTTGCTGTGCAGGTTTTTTTTTTTAACAACAATTTTCGGTAGGATTGATGGGACAGAATTGGGGAGGGGGGGTTATGAAGAGTAATTTTCAACCGTTAGATCAAGCTGAAGTAATTTGGACCACTCTTTATATGGGTACATTTCCAAGATTCAACTTCTTACCAATCTTACTATATAGATATTTGTTTTGCGCCTTACGGTGGGTTTGACTCTACAAAAATTCAATTGAAATCAAAGTAAACATGGATGAAATAGTATGTTTGGCCACAAAATTTACACTTTACCAAGCAAGTTTTCCAACTATAACCCAAATTCAAACATAAGCATTATCAACACAAGAAATCTATACGATGGATCAATCCTACACTATCGATGTAAAGTAGTAAACAAAGAATCAGATATAATTAAAGTGCTAAACAAATGCATGTAATAGCACCGAATGACTTAAAATAGAATTATACGTAAAAATATAGCATTAGTAGTAATACATTTAGAGGCTGAAAACATTCAAAAGGAATCGTAATGTGAAGTATCTTGAAATAAGCCGATGGCTTAAAAGATCGGATTATCCACTAAATTTTAACTTGCAGTAAACAATAAAAAATTAAAGAATCTTGAATAAGTAATAATTTTTTTTTTCCAAAGCACAAATTTGATTCATGAGGTTCAAAAGCTCTTAATATCCCAAGTACCTAACTGAATATCAAAAGCCAAAAAGAAAGCAACTTGGCCTTCGCTAAATTACATCCATACACAAATTAATGCAGATTCAAAACTCAGCCAGCTCCCTGAGCCCTTTGAATGGTGTGATCATACCCATCTAAAAATGAATGCAGATTTAACTCTCAGTCTGCTCCCTGAGCCTTCGAATGGTGCTCCTAACAGTCACAGCGCTTGCAGTGTTTAGCGTGTAAGCACCGCCTGCTTTGACTTTGCCATAGTCTTTGCATCCCCAGATACCCACAGCCTTCCTCTTCACTGCATACTTCCCACAGAATTCACAGAAGTATTTGCTGTGCTGACTGACCTCCATCTTCTTAATCTGCTTCCGCAGACTAGCCCCATAACGGGTACCATACTTCCCCACAATGCCCGCCTTCTTGGTTCTTTTCGTCATTTTCAGAGAAATCGGTTGATTCGGCTGAGAACAGAAGGTTGTTGGATCCGCAAAAACCCAAACTTTAGGTGAAAGAGAGAGAGAGAGAGAGAGAGAGAGAGAATGGAAATGAACCGTCAGTTCAATAAGTAATAATATAATGTCAACGATAATTATTCCCAAAAAGCCAATCAAAATTTATGGAATAGAACCCAATAAATGTCGTAGAAATTGTTGCCCACATAAAACCAATCAAAACTCATCCCAAACAAACAAATTCATCCCAGTACTAACAAAAACCAAGATAGTGGGTTTTGAGTTTTGAGTGACGATGATGATAGTGACAACTATGTGTAACGACGGTGGTGTTGAGCGATGATGGTGGTTAGTGGTTGTGGTGGGGTGACGACGGTAGTGGTACAGTAGTGGGTTGTGGTGGTGGGAGACGATGAGTAGTGGTGGATGACGATGAGTTCTTGTGGACGACGATGGTGGCAAATGACAGTGATGATGGAAGATGCGGTGGCGGAGGGTGGTGGTGGTGGCGGACAAGGATGGGTGGTGGTGGTAGGTGTGTTGGGGGTGGATAGTGGGTGACGGCTGTGGTGATAGTAAAGTATTTTGTAAAGAAGTGATATAAAAGAAATATAAGTTATTTTTTTGGGTTAATTACAAAATGTTCCCTTGAACTATGAGTCGTGTTTCAATGAGATCCCTCTGGTTTAAAATTGAACAATTTGCCCCTTTAAAGTTTTAGAATGAGCAAAAAAATTGACGGATTGGCTGACCTCTGTCAAAAGTAACGGTAACATTTAAAATTCATCTGCCAAAAAAAAATACAAAACCATTTGAGACCATTCTACCCTTATGAGGTCGAAAATGACAAAAACACAATTCCCAACCGTTGGAGATGTCTTATTTAACTGAAGCAAATTTCTCATTCATGGCCATGACTGCTGTTAGCCTTCCTCTTTCTTTGTACTTGTGTTTTTTTTTTCTCCACGAAAAGCAATATTTTTTTGACTCTCCCTTCTCACACTCTGTCTCTCCACACAAATACACACCAACCCACAATATTATACATTTTGCTACAGTGCTTACACCAAAAAAATGGCTTCAAGCCAATCATCAGTACATGGAGAAAGAGTGTTTATGTGGACTAAAATGCAAAGTGAAGACATCATGGATAGAAAACAACCCCGGAAGAAGATTTTATAGCTGTCCCAACTACAAGACAGTGGTACTTCTTTATCAACTATTTTTTTCATGTTTCCTCCAATTGCTATTTTGGTATAACCTTTACTTTGTAAAGTGTAGGGAAAGTCATCTTGCAAATATTTTGACTGGTATGAACCAAAGATGACAGACAGGGAAAGAAATATCATAGTTGGTTTCATGCGCAAGACGACAAAGCTTGAGAACGAGATTAAATACTTAAAAAGGAAGGAGAAGATAATATATGCAATCATTATTGTTTTCATAGTTGTTTATCTCATGATGTATAACAACTAGAAACAACTATGTATGCATTGGTCATGTAACAAATGCAATCTGTGAAATGCAAGACATAATGAAATAGTAGAATGCAACATCCATTTCATTACATACTAAGCAAAAGCACATCGCTGTGTTGGAGGATACATTAGGTCATTACATGTCTAACAAGACACAAAAGATGGGTTGATTTCTAAACAATATTAAAGTGCAGTGCATTCCAAAACAAAAGAGTGTGCTAACAACACCAACATAATTCAAAGTCAAAACATGCTCCACTCACCTCCCTTAGAGCTGCCTTTCCCATTTTCATCACTGGGATTCTTGTCATTCTTCTTCATCTTCGACCTTGAAATCATCCCAATGCCTTTGGGACCTCTCGAACCAGTACATTCCAAATTTTTGATAATGGTTAACCCCCTAAGCCCAATTGCAGACCCACCACTGGGAAGTGGAAGTCCACTGCCACTGATATTGATACTCTTCCTTACACTTTCACCACTTTGAATTACAGAGCTATGTCCTTTCTTTTATGGCTACGAGCTGCTTTTGTTCCCTTTGGTTGGTTGTAAGCTACTCCCTTTAATTTGCTGTGAGCTGCTTGTATTCCCTTTGGTTGGTTGTGAGCTGCTGGTGGGTTGTGAGCTGCTGGTTGGTTGTGAGCTGCTACTTCCAGATCCAATAATTGGTTGTGAGCTACTCCCAGTTTTTGCAACACTTCTTTTCTTTCCTGAATCATGTGCCTATGACAAATAAGTCGTATATGTTAGTAAACATTTAAACACATATGTGCATCTACTAACATTATGAAATACATGATAATCTTACCTTTGTTTTAGTTTTTCCGCTACCACTGCCTGCAACTTTCTTTGGAGCAGTGCAAGACCTGGAGTTGTGTCCAAATTTGTGGCATTTACCACAACGAAGAGAATTTTGTTTCTTTCGTATGATATATACTTAGTAATTTGTTTAATGGGGGACCACCAACCTTGATGATGCCTTAAATGTGAGCTAAAATATTTGATCTTTAAGCTCAAACATAGTGAAAGTTGTTTAATAGGGGACCACAGTTAGTGATACTGACATAAAGGTGAACAAAAATAAGTCTGAGTACATGGTTCCCAAAATGCCAGACAAGGAATCAAAGGCAGAACAAAAACCTATACAACCAAAAGAAATCACATGGTTCTAACAATGTCATACAATGAACCAAAAATGTAAAACAGAAAGCTTCAACACAAGATAAATCAGCTGGATTCGTCGTTCAATCAAACATTCGAGCTCAATCAACACAAGATGCTCACAAGCCTTTATTGCACCGTAACTATTACCTTCAATCGAACTTTCGAGCTCAAGCGGGTTCACCTACAATCGAACATTTGAGCTCAATCAACACAAAATGCCCATGGTTCATGCACCATAACCTTCAATCCCTTTCATGTCGTTGCTTTCTTCGCTTAGATTGTGTACAACAAAAAGCATCTCAGAAAAAATAAACAAAGTTAAATTTGGGTTAGAGTTCTATTTATATGATAAGTGATTACCTAACCGTGGTTAAATATTTGGCGCCAATACATCAACCAGGTTGAAGGATAGTTTGGAATTTCACCTACTCAGTCATCTTCGTCAGCCTTTCTGCTCACATTCTGAAATTTGAAGGGATAAATTGTTCAATTTTAAACCAGAGGGATCAGATTGAAACAAAATTATAGTTCAAAGGGACATTTTGTAATTAATCTTATTTTTTTTTAACTTTACTTATTTATTTAAGTGGAAAAATTATATTTGACTTTAGTAATTAAAATAAGTTGTTTCAAACACTAATTTTTTTAATAAAAATTGGTGAAAGGTCTCATTAAATACAATCAAAGCACTTTTATTTTAAGTATACGTATTTGTCCTACAGTCCATTCTAATTATATTATTTTTATTTATTACGTTGAGAATTGAACGGTTGAAAGATTCGATCTCTCAACCATGAATATGCACGCACTCCGCGCCATCCGTTCAGTAGCAGCTCAGCTCCGATGGCTTTCATTTCTCTCTTGTCGACCTCCCACTCCATCTCCGATCGTGCTGTGTGTGTTTACTTCGCTGTGAGTATTTATATGTGACTCGTTGTCTTAGAGATCACAAGAGGGAAATGGAAGCGCAGGATGGTTTGAATCTTCAGGGCACACAAAGTTTCCCTAAAGCTCTCTCTCCAAACTCCTTTGAAAATAGGTTGCACAATCAGAATGGGCATATGGATAATGGTTTCACTTTTTCCACAGAGAACTCCGGATACTAATTGCCCGGTCAAATAGCATAGAAAACAGGAAATAAGTGTCCAAAACTAGCTGGCAACATACACAGGAGTTCTATCTTCTGATGTGATTAGCAAACCAAGAAAAGAAAATGAGTTACACTGTGAATCAAGGGGTGAGTGTCACTGATAATAAAGTGGCAGGCGCAGTAAAAAAGGTAGTTTATATAGTGTCATGGATAATAATGTGTACAACTAACAAAATCTAGCATTATGTTTTGTTATATGTTTTTCAATTCAAATATTCTACATTAAAGTTCACTGTTTCGTAAAAATTTTGGATAGTTAACTAGGGGTTTTATTCTGATGGTGCAAATCAATGGTGAAACAATTTTGTGGTAATGAGTCAATGAGATAAGCAATATTCTGATTATTAACGTCTGAACCACTTGGCTCCAGGGAATGGTGCTTAAGATTCTCCAAGAATTAACACAGAGAAAATATAGTGGTTCATCAATTAGGAAGCTCGACTAATTCATTCTTCAATGAAGACTGACTCATTTTCCTTTATTGATTACACCAAAGGTTTACAGAATAGGTTTTTGGTCATTCGGTCCCCCCTTTTGATGGGGCATTACATGGTATTTATAGGGGTGACCCTTAATCTATGGGATCTGAGCCGTGATCCTCGCCATCTATTCGAGAGAATTCTCCTTGATTTTAGGAGAGTATCTTGGTGGTTGAAGATTTTGTGCCTTGAGTATTACTTCAAACCGCCTGTAGAGTTCTTTGTAGTGTCCAATTGCTTCCTCATTGCTTCAGCTTATTATCTCGATTGAGGGGAGCTCTAGCTCTGATTTTTTGAGCTCTGCATAGCTCTAACTTTATGAGGTCTGCATACCTGACCTCCATGTTCGACCTCCGTTCTCAAGCTCCTGCTCGGGAATCATTCTGAGTATCATCAGTTGCCCCCCAGCTCTTGGCCGAGCTGACTTGGGCAAGGGCTGAACTTAGGATGTAACAATAATGACTTCCCAATCAGCGACTTCAAATGTGCTCTAGCTATGCGTTTTTACTTTAGTGTTCCCTCGTCCCCTTTACTTTAAAGAGTGTTGAGCTCTACCTGAAGCAAGAATGCTTTGGGAGTTTCATACTTGAGCTTATTGGATGAGAGTAAGNAGGTTCACTGTTTCGTAAAAATTTTGGATAGTTAACTAGGGGTTTTATTCTGATGGTGCAAATCAATGGCGAAACAATTTTGTGGTAATGAGTCAATGAGATAAGCAATATTCTGATTATTAACGTCTGAACCACTTGGCTCCAGGGAATGGTGCTTAAGATTCTCCAAGAATTAACACAGAGAAAATATAGTGGTTCATCAATTAGGAAGCTCGACTAATTCATTCTTCAATGAAGACTGACTCATTTTCCTTTATTGATTACACCAAAGGTTTACAGAATAGGTTTTTGGTCATTCGGTCCCCCCTTTTGATGGGGCATTACATGGTATTTATAGGGGTGACCCTTAATCTATGGGATCTGAGCCGTGATCCTCGCCATCTATTCGAGAGAATTCTCCTTGATTTTAGGAGAGTATCTTGGTGGTTGAAGATTTTGTGCCTTGAGTATTACTTCAAACCGCCTGTAGAGTTCTTTGTAGTGTCCAATTGCTTCCTCATTGCTTCAGCTTATTATCTCGATTGAGGGGAGCTCTAGCTCTGATTTTTTGAGCTCTGCATAGCTCTAACTTTATGAGGTCTGCATACCTGACCTCCATGTTCGACCTCCGTTCTCAAGCTCCTGCTCGGGAATCATTCTGAGTATCATCAGTTGCCCCCCAGCTCTTGGCCGAGCTGACTTGGGCAAGGGCTGAACTTAGGATGTAACAATAATGACTTCCCAATCAGCGACTTCAAATGTGCTCTAGCTATGCGTTTTTACTTTAGTGTTCCCTCGTCCCCTTTACTTTAAAGAGTGTTGAGCTCTACCTGAAGCAAGAATGCTTTGGGAGTTTCATACTTGAGCTTATTGGATGAGAGTAAGTGGTAAATCTCATCACCAGCTGCTCCTTGCGTTTCATGCTGGCTTTGGCGATTCTGTAGGTGTATGCAGCTAAACTTAGGTTGTGATGAACTGAGAAGTATGAAGCTTAAAACGATCTTATTCTTGAAGGCTTGGGGGTGTCTGGCATAGCTTTATCTTTAGTGGGAATAAGGCTGCCGAGTTCAATTCTGGACTTGGAAACTATCTGGGTTTTTCAGGATGTTGGACTTGTAGACCTCATGGTTCTGCAACTTCTTCTGAAAGAGTTTTTCTTCTTAAACTCTCCACTGTAGGTGGTAGAGCTCGTTGTGATGAACTTAGGAGTTTATCGAGAGCTATTGAACTCATTTATGAACTTAAGAGTTCATCGTGAGCTTCTGAGTTTGTTTTTATGAACTTAAGAGTTCATCATGAGCTATTGAACTCATTTTTATGAACTTAAGAGTTCATTGTGAGCTTCTGAGCTCGTTTTCATGAACTTAAGAGTTCATCGTGAGCTCTAGGGCTTTTTTTATGAACTAAAGAGTTCATCGTGAGCTTCAGGGCTCTTTTTATGAANAAGTTCACTGTTTCGTAAAAATTTTGGATAGTTAACTAGGGGTTTTATTCTGATGGTGCAAATCAATGGTGAAACAATTTTGTGGTAATGAGTCAATGAGATAAGCAATATTCTGATTATTAACTTCTGAACCACTTGGCTCCAAGGAATGGTGCTTAAGATTCTCCAAGAATTAACACAGAGAAAATATAGTGGTTCATCAATTAGGAAGCTCGACTAATTCATTCTTCAATGAAGACTGACTCATTTTCCTTTATTGATTACACCAAAGGTTTACAGAATAGGTTTTTGGTCATTCGGTCCCCCCTTTTGATGGGGCATTACATGGTATTTATAGGGGTGACCCTTAATCTATGGGATCTGAGCCGTGATCCTCGCCATCTATTCGAGAGAATTCTCCTTGATTTTAGGAGAGTATCTTGGTGGTTGAAGATTTTGTGCCTTGAGTATTACTTCAAACCGCCTGTAGAGTTCTTTGTAGTGTCCAATTGCTTCCTCATTGCTTCAGCTTATTATCTCGATTGAGGGGAGCTCTAGCTCTGATTTTTTGAGCTCTGCATAGCTCTAACTTTATGAGGTCTGCATACCTGACCTCCATGTTCGACCTCCGTTCTCAAGCTCCTGCTCGGGAATCATTCTGAGTATCATCAGTTGCCCCCCAGCTCTTGGCCGAGCTGACTTGGGCAAGGGCTGAACTTAGGATGTAACAATAATGACTTCCCAATCAGCGACTTCAAATGTGCTCTAGCTATGCGTTTTTACTTTAGTGTTCCCTCGTCCCCTTTACTTTAAAGAGTGTTGAGCTCTACCTGAAGCAAGAATGCTTTGGGAGTTTCATACTTGAGCTTATTGGATGAGAGTAAGTGGTAAATCTCATCACCAGCTGCTCCTTGCGTTTCATGCTGGCTTTGGCGATTCTGTAGGTGTATGCAGCTAAACTTAGGTTGTGATGAACTGAGAAGTATGAAGCTTAAAACGATCTTATTCTTGAAGGCTTGGGGGTGTCTGGCATAGCTTTATCTTTAGTGGGAATAAGGCTGCCGAGTTCAATTCTGGACTTGGAAACTATCTGGGTTTTTCAGGATGTTGGACTTGTAGACCTCATGGTTCTGCAACTTCTTCTGAAAGAGTTTTTCTTCTTAAACTCTCCACTGTAGGTGGTAGAGCTCGTTGTGATGAACTTAGGAGTTTATCGAGAGCTATTGAACTCATTTATGAACTTAAGAGTTCATCGTGAGCTTCTGAGTTTGTTTTTATGAACTTAAGAGTTCATCATGAGCTATTGAACTCATTTTTATGAACTTAAGAGTTCATTGTGAGCTTCTGAGCTCGTTTTCATGAACTTAAGAGTTCATCGTGAGCTCTAGGGCTTTTTTTATGAACTAAAGAGTTCATCGTGAGCTTCAGGGCTCTTTTTATGAACTAACGACTTCATCGTGAGCTCTAAGACTCTTATTACCAACTAATGAGTTTGTCGTGAGCTCCAGGGCTCTTATTACAAACTAAGGAGTTCGTCGTGAGCTCCAAGGCTCTTTTTATGAACTAACAAGTTCATCGTAAGCTCTAAGGCTCTTATTACGGACTAATGAGTTCGTTGTGAGCTCCAGGGCTCTTATTACGAATTAATGAGTTCGTTGTGAGCTCCAAGGCTCTTATTACGAACTAATGAGTTCGTCGTGAGCTCCAAGGCTCTTTTTATGAACTAATGAGTTCATCGTGAGCTTCAGGGGCTCTTTTTATGAACTAACGAGTTCATCGTGAGCTCTAAGACACTTATTACGAACTAATGAGTTTGTCGTGAGCTCCAGGGCTCTTATTACGAACTAATGAGTTCGTCGTGAGTTCTAGGGCTCTTTTTAGGAACTAACGAGTTCATCGTGAGCTCTAGGGCTCAGATTACGGACTAATGAGTTCGTCCTGAGCTCCAGAGCTCTTATTGTGAACTAAGGAGTTCATCGTGAGCTCCAGGGCTTTTTTTATGAACTAACGAGTTCATCGTGAGCTCTAGGGCTCTTTTTATGAACTAAAGNAGTAATTAAAATAAGTTGTTTCAAACACTAATTTTTTTAATAAAAATTGGTGAAAGGTCTCATTAAATACAATCAAAGCACTTTTATTTTAAGTATACGTATTTGTCCTACAGTCCATTCTAATTATATTATTTTTATTTATTACGTTGAGAATTGAACGGTTGAAAGATTCGATCTCTCAACCATGA